TGATAATTTTAAGCTTGGAAACTGTCCATATTTTGATGTCAGGATATTTAAATTAAAAATTGTTATTTTACGGTGATAATCTTGTTTTCTTGTGCCCAATAATGCATAATTTCATTTGATAAACACGTTTAGATTGAATGGTAATTTATAATCAGTCACAAGAACGTCGAATCTGAATCACTTGAAAAAAACACGGGGGTGCTTAACTTTTTTCCAGGTGTATATTAAGAAATATACCTAAAAGCCTTTCTATTAGACAACTGGCAAAAAAAGAAAGTTATATATATAAAGAAATTATTTCAAATTCTGACATATGTCATGTGACTCCTTACAAGTATATATAAAATCAACATCCAGTCTTCTGTTACAACAGCAACAACAACAAAAAAGGACATGAACATATGTGCAAATTGTTTTTCATATGAAAACTACTGCTGAAAACTTACAAAAATACTTGTTGTAAGATGCCACTATTTGCTTAATATTTATATTATCAGTAAAATATATTTCACAGAAATATTCATCTCTACTATAATCTTGCACTATATACTTTTTGTTTGTGCTAAGAATTAAATCATTTTTACTCCTCCTCTACTTCATGTACCCTTTATCTGTTTTCCATCCTATGTCATCTGTAATCTTGTAAAGTATTATTTTGCACTTCATTCTCTCTTGGTGCTAATAATCTTCTGTCACATAGAAAACTTTATGTGCACCTTGCACTCAAACAACCTTATAGAGTCACATTTTTCTACACCCACTTTTGTGAGTAGGAGAGTGGAAACAGTAAAACTACAGATAAGTACCATATTGGCCCAATTATAAGGCAATGTTTTTGATTAATAATTAGGCTGCAAGATTCATAATCACCTTATAATCGCAGCCTACTATAGGCCCCTTCCCCCTACTCTAGCCTGTTACATTCCTGAATGTCCAAATAGCATTTGTCTGTCTATATGTGCATGGCAGATGTTCACTGAAGGTCATCACTAATTCTTGCAACTAACTCACCTGCAGGCTGTCCAGTTATAGTACTGATTTTGCAGACCCTAAAAAAAGGACATTATGACTCTCAATTTTTTCTTTCCCGTGGTTTCTGAAAATGGGAGTCACCTTATATTCAAGAGTACCATATAACCGGGCCAATACAGTATTTCTTTTAATTTGAATTACACAACTTAAATGTTAATTTGATATCAAATTTTATTACAGTTAGAAAAATTACACTGAAATTGAGGAAGGACAAGAAAAAGCACAGATGCTGTCACTCCTGGAAACAAAGTACTAAGATCTAGATACAGACCAAGAAAAACAAGTTCATGAAACCCAAAGATCCACACACACATATCGGGGTGACATTGCTGGCTCTCAGCAATTTTATAACACGATAATTGGGAAGAGACATGATCTGTCAAGCAGTCAGAAACATCCCATTCCTGGTCCCACATCAACACACCAGGTGGTCTAAAGACCTAGTGTGAAAGGCATATTCACTGTTATCGACACAATACACTGAGAAATACTAAAAAGGGAGGTATCCCACATAAGAAGATAGATGTCCAAGGGTTATGCTAGTATTACTTGGAAAGATCTTATGTAAGTGATATAGCAGCACAATGCCCTTACTGGACACAAAAGATGATTATATCCATTGGGTAAATTCAACAAGACCAACAAAAAAAACTATCTCGGTCTTCTAAAAGAAACAGTTTCTTTTTGTATGTATAAAGATTCTATCTCTCTGGGTACAAGTTTAGCAATCCTCATGAAAATATATTTCAGTCAACAAAAAACACACAAGCCAGAATGATGTTAAACAGAGCTAAGAGGCACAAAAATTATGTATTTCTAGGAAAAACTTACACCACAAGAGCTTAATAGTTCAAAAGGGGCTTTCTACCAAAGCCTGAAAAATTAAAGCAACATCCCAATCCAGAAGACAATGAGGATAAAGAGGCCTTACTACACAAAAAACTTAAACAAATTCATCACAGCACATTACTGAAGAGGATAACAAATCCTCAAGAAGTGAAAGAATAGTTTAAATCAGCCTCATAATCCTGTAGTAAGGACGGGCACGGCCAAAGAAGTTAGTCCAAAATCTAAGAGTTGGAACGCTGAACGTAGGAAGCATGACAGGAAGGGGTAGAGAGCTGGCAGACCTGATGGAGAGTGTGGTTGTGTGTGCAGGAGATGAGGTGGAGGGGGAACGAGTCGAGGGACATTGGTGCAGGGTGTAAGCTCATCTACAGCGGAGCAAACGCCCAAGGGCGGAACGATGTAGGCATTGTACTGGACAGTAAGTGGTGGGAGGATTTGGTGAGCGTGGGAAGGAGGAGCAATAGGATAATGAGTGTGAAGTTGGGAGTTGGAAGTACGGTTCTAAATGTGGTTTGCGCATACGCTCCACAAGTGGGATGTACTGAGTAAGAGAAGGAAGAGTTCTGGAGACATCTGGACGAAGAAATACAGTTGATACCGCAGGAGGAAAGAGTGTTTCTGGGAGGGGACTTGAATGGGCACATCGGAGCAGAAAGAGGGGTACTGCCCAGGGTACACGGTGGATGGGGTGTAGAAGGGAGAAACGGAGAAGGTGAGAGCATCATAGACTTCGCATTGGCAAACGAGATGGCAATAGTTAACACTTTCTTTAAAAAAGACGCTTGACCAGTATATCACCTACAAAAGCGGAGCCAGAGAAAGTCAAACTGACTTCCTCCTGTGCAGAAGAAACCATCTGGGAGAGGTGAAAAATTGTAAGGTGATAAAGGGAGAAAGTGTTTCAGCTCAACACTGGCTTGTAGTATTGGATTGCGGAGTCAAAGGTGACAAGAGATGAAAACAGCGAGGAGTACCGAAAATCAAATGGT